AATTTCAAATAGTTAATTTGATACTAATATCGATATATTTTTGTCAAATTTTTATGATATCTTCAAACATATATTTTATTCAAAAATAAAAACATTATCGCTTTCACAAAATCACATAAAGCCATATTATAATATCGACTGAGATAAAAAAGAAAATGAAATATTAAAATCTTGATGTATCATTGCGCGAATACGCTTCTAGTATATTAATTATCAATTTAATCCGTTGGTCGATCCGAATTATCAAAAATAAATAAATAAATAAATTCGGATATTATATTTGATTGGTTCTCATTGAAGTGGGTCCCAGCTAATCTAAGCGCCAAACCAAAACATCCATTAACGTAAACCAACTTCTCTGTCCTCCCACTTCGCTGAAACCATTTCTGATCTCCATCTTCTTCGTTCAAATATTCAAAACCCTAAAATCACATGAACAGATCATATCAAATTCTTCAAATTACCGATAACAATGTCTAATCAATGCTCTAATTTATTTGAGTATCGATCTTTCTCTCTCTTTACTCCGTTCTACACACCCCTAAAACCCTACCCTACCATTCTTCGTCCAATTTTTCCATTTCATAATAGTCTCATACTAAACAGTAGGAGATCAAGAAGCAGAACGTCATATGTTCCACTTGCTGCTCAATCTTCGTCGGATATAGTTCTCATTGCAACCACAGGTTCATTCTTTAATTCTTTAAAATTTCTATTGATTTGTACTAGTTTTATGTTTCTGAGAATTCAGTAGTGTGATGGGGATTCTGATGCTAGAAAATAGTTTTATTTCGTTATGTAGTGGTATATTAGAGGATCACCTTTTTATAGTCCTAAAATATAATGCATCTCTCACGATTCACGAATTATAATCTTGAAAACCGCTGATCACCATTTTTTCGATCTTTAATTGAGTCTCAAAGCTCTCAACTTCCAAACAAAATCATTAAATGTTCTTTTTTGGTGTCTCGATTTGATTTACTCAAACACAAATAGAGCATTACCTTTCGATTATATTGTTAGTCAACATAAATTGACTACTGATATTGGTGTTACGTTTGGGTTTTTGTGAATTCTGTTTGCTGTTTGTTTTCGCAGAACGCCAAGATGGCAGTTTTGTATTCCGTTTTGGGGATGCTTGTGAGGTGGTGGAAGAAATAGAGAGTCAGGCTGAACCTGAAAGTAATGCTGTGACCATATTAGATGGAGATCAGGAGAGACAAGTTCTCACAGAGACTATTGAAGGAGGATATGGAAATGATGGTGGGACACTTACTGAGGTAGATGATGGAATTAGGAATGCCGATATTGATAGTGACTTTGCTGAAACGGATACTAAAGTCATTAGTGATTTCAGAGATTATCATGCTGAATTGAGCGAGACATTATCAGATATTTCCGAGGAAGAAGTGCTTTCATTGCAATCTGATGCTCAAATGAATAATTCTCTTGAAGGTGTTGAGAGCACGCTCAATAATAAAACAGAATGTGCTGCTCAGCTTGATGGGGGTGAGAGTTTAAACCCAACTATATCTCTTCTTGATAACAGTCCAAACAGAGACAAGAGTGCAGATCCTGAGGGATTCATTTTAAAGGATAGTGATGATGAAATTGAGGATCCATCAGTTTCTGTTAAGCTTGAAAGTATGCAAGTTTCACATATTGAAGTCATGGATGTTAAAAAATCTCATGCCAAGGATGAGCTGCACAAGGTTAAAAGGGAAGATACTAGCGAGAGTGATACAAAAGATGTAACGCCTCCTGCAACCATGCGTATTTCAGATGTTGAACTGACAGATGCTGCAAAGGAGGATGCAGAGGAAGGGTTACAAGATATGAAAATTAATGAGGGCACTCTCATAGATGAGATGCCACCATCTAATCTAGGAGGCGAACCAACTTTAGATGAGGTAAGCCAGCTCCAATTTGGACATGTCGAGGTTGAGGCAATCATGAAAGTTTCAAGTACTAAAGCCATGGATGTTGAGGATGATCAAGCTATGGAAGATAAGTTGCAACAAATGAGCACCAATAAGAGGGATGAGATTGATGTTGCATATGAGATGCCTATTTCCTACATTGAAGAGGCAGAACCACTTCTAGAAGAGGAGGTAAGCCAGTCCCAACCAACCCCTGTGGAGCTCAAGCCTACCATGCAAGTTTCAGATATTGAAATTCAGGATACTGTGAATCTGGATGATGGAAATTTACAAGTTATTGATGAAACTGAGGCTCCATCAATTTATGAAGATGTGGAGAAATGGTCACAAGATATGAGCATTAATGAGGGCAAGCTCATAGATTGGATGCCACCATCTGATCTATTAGGAGCTGAATCAACTTTAGATGAGGTAAGCCAACTCCAATCTGCCCCTGTCAAGCTTGAGGCAACCATGGAAGTTTCAAGTACGAAAGGCATAGAGGTTGAGGATCGGTCTGTGGAAGATGAGTTTCAACAAGGGAGCACCAATAGCAATGATGAGAATGATGTTGCATTTGCGATGCCTGCAGAACCAGTTCTAGAAGAGGAGGTAAGCCAACTCCAATCTGCCCCTGTCAAACTTGAGGCAACCATGGAAGTTTCAAGTACGAAAGGCATAGAGGTTGAGGATCGGTCTGTGGAAGATGAGTTTCAACAAGGGAGCACCAATAACAATGATGAGAATGATGTTGCATTTGCGATGCCTGCAGAACCAATTCTAGAAGAGGAGGTAAGCCAACTTCAATATGCCCCTGTCAAGCCTGAGGCAACCATGGAAGTTTCAACTACTAAAGGCATGGATATTGAGGATCATGCTGTGGAAGGTGAGTTGCAACAAGCGAGCACCAGTAATAATGATGAGAATGATGTTGCATATGTGTCACCTGTAGAACCAATTCTAGTAGAGGAAGTAAGCCAACTCCAATCTGCCCCTGTAATGCTTGAGGCAACCATGGAAGTTTCAACTACTAAAGGCATGGATATTGAGGATCAGGCTGTGGAAGATGAGTTGCAACAAGCGAGCACCAGTAACAATGATGAAAATGATGTTGCATATGGGTCGCCTGTAGAACCAATTCTAGTAGAGGAGGTAACCCAACTCCAATCTGCCCCTGTAATGCTTGAGGCAA